TGTGCATATTACCGTAATATACGACATTTAATGAGACTCGGTGACTATTGTTATTATGGCGTCACTTGTGGAAGTCGTCTGCTCACATCTCACATTTATGTTTATTTATTCTACTGTGGGGTGTATTTATCTTATTTATATGTTATGCATCGTGTTTATTATATAATTTTGAAAAAAATATCATGGATGGATTAATGAAAATGTGTATATTACCGTAATATACGACATTTAATGAGACTCGGTGACTATTGTTATTATGGGGTCACTTGTGGAAGTCGTCTGCTCACATCTCACATTTATGTTTATTTATTCTACTGTGGGGTGTATTTATCTTATTTATATGTTATGCATCGTGTTTATTATAAATTTTGAAAAAAATATCATGGATGGATTAATGAAAATGTGTATATTAACGTAATATACGACATTTAAATGACTCGATGTATGTAAGTTTATTTAGGTACAGGTATACATAAGTATAATTATCAGAGTATATATAAAATATGAAATAACTTTTAAAAACATTTGAAATTTTGGAGTTTCCAGACAAAATGGAGAGACTTAGTGCTTACTGAGCTCATGGAGAATGTAAACAAACAGGGTGGGGCACGGTGACCGTATTAGAAAGTCAGGTGGGGGGAGCCGTATAGAGAGTTTTGGTCATAATTTGAAATGTCCGTATTAGCGGAATGCCGTAAAGTGAAACGCCGTAAAGCGGGGCCTTCCTGTATATCAATTCCGAGCTAATTAAGAGATAGAATGCTTAATTTGATGAAGAATTAGGTTGCATTTTTACTATTGTTAACTTATACACTTGTATCTAGTTTAGGACAGTTTAAGCTTCGGCATCAGATATAGTATTGGTTATAGTTGTTATAATGTTAACAATGTAATGGTAATAGGTATTGTTTCAATATCCGATGTAAGGATTTTCATTCAGTGCAATATATTTGTTTGAATTTTCTTGTGCCTCATGTTTGTGTATGGTTTTAAATAAAATATAAAAAAAAAAACTTCCAAGGTTTTGACTAAATCGGCTAATATTTGACAGTGGAACTCTGTAGATGTTTATCAATGTGAGAGGTTTTTGTAGGTATTTGGATTTGAATTTAGCTATTATATACAGTATTCCCCATGTTCATCCCTTGTGCAAGTATTAGTGATACATTCTAGTTGGTCTGAGTAGTATATAGCTGCGCCACCCTCTTGTTGGTCTGGCTTACAGTTGTGTATGGCTGTGTAACCAGGAATGGCATAGACATCAGTAGTATCAGGCTTTAGCCAGATTTCGGTTAGTATAATGATGGACATATTGGCATGCAAGGAATTTAGTAATGCTATGAGGTCATTGTAATGCTTGCTTAAAGATCTGATATTGTAGTTAAAAACAGTTATGTTATTGTTGGCTCTGAGGAGTGCCTTTGATTGTTCTGCTGTGTAGTTTACCTGGAGAGAGTTCCAGGGGTCAACGCCCCCGCGGCCCGGTCTGTGACCAGGCCTCCTGGTGGATCAGAGCCTGATCAACCAGGCTGTTACTGCTGGCTGCACGCAAACCAACGTACGCGCCACAGCCCGGCTGGTCAGGAACCGACTTTAGGTGCTTGTCCAGTGCCAGCTTGAAGACTGCCAGGGGTCTGTTGGTAATCTCCCTTATGTAATTACAGTAACTGTTTGATTCATTTAAGTCATTAAATAAGAGGTTGGTATCAGGATCAATGCTTGTAATCATAAGATTTGTAGTGAATCTATAGTTAGAATTAAGTATAAAACAAAGTAAATATTCTTAAACTAAAAAATAGCACATGAATTATTTAACAAAAGTAAAAAAATGAGCTAAGGTAGTTTTTTAAAGCTAAAATAAAGGAGACAATATAAAAGGGACTAAAATAATTTGTGGTGAACAAATAAAGTGATGATCAAATAATGAAACTTGGGAATATGATAGTAGGTAGTACTTTAAAGGTAATTCTTTAAAGTTAGAATTAGGGAAAAAATATAAAAGGGACTAATATAAGTTGTAGTGAACAATAAAGTGGTAATCAAATAAATAAGTTTTGGAATATAATGGCAAAATAGTGAACTTATTACACTTTAGCACCTGAGAATAGCACCTTGATTATTTTAACAATTGTGAATATATGAACTAAGGTAGTTATATAAAGCTAAAATAAAGGAGAAAATATATAAGGGACTAAATTAAGCAATGGTAAACAAAGTTCAATGGACAGATAGTCACTATGAAATAATATTGGTTTAGAAGTAAGATCTGATTTGTAATATTAAATAAGTTGAGCAGTGTATTGCACAATAAAAAGTAAAAAAAATATGAGGTAGTTGGTACTACCTAGCAAAAGATAGTTTTGGGACTTGCAAAAAAGTAATTGGAATATACACTAATTGCAAACACAATAAAAGGCGACTAAAACAAGTAGTGGTAAACAAAATTAAATGGGCAGGTAAGAACGATGAATAATATTAATTTGGAGTAAGATTTGACTTGTAACACAAAATTATGAGCAATTAATTGCAGTAACAAAGAAGTATAAAGTATTGGAGGTAGTTGGCATTAGCTAGTGATGAAAAATAAAAAATAATAATGCACAATATAATAGTAACGTACACTATATGCACCACACGTATATATGTATTAAGGGCACTTATCTAATCTGTTACAGAAATGTCAGCTTTTCTAAGGAAGGTAGAGAAATCATGTTCGTTTGTGATGGTATATTGTTGTCCTGTTGATGTTTTCCTTACTAGTATTTTCCCATCTCGCGTGAAACACTGATGTATTTTGTTTTCCTGTTTAAGTTTCCTCAGCCTGAACAGAAGGTTTTGACATTTTCTTGTTAGACACTCATTTATGTACACTCCATTTTTCATTGTAATTGCTGATTTAATTAGGTCCTTTCTTTTGTCATATGAATGAAGTCTGATCATTATACTGTGTTTACTACCTGGTTTTCCTAGCAAACGTGTTTCTTTGATTTCATTGTTTTGCACGATGACTTGTACGTGGTCCTTTATGCACATAAAGGGCCCCAAAATATGGAATTCATTACCAGAAGATATTAAAGTAACCCGGTCAGAAAATCAATTTAAGACTCTTCTCAAAAGCCACTTAATCGCCCTAGACTAAATGCTAAATACTCAGTACAGACATACTCACTTATGTACTCCCACATCATAACTTCAACAATCACTTTGAACCTTTTATCCATTGTTGACAGGAATATAATTGAATCATTGTTTTCACAAAAAGCATTTTTGAATATACTATGAATATATTTTTTGTCTTGTACAAATTAGATTCACTTATAATTAATAATCTACTGTACAACTATGAAATAATTACTATCCTACTGTACAACTATGATATAATCCTTAGTGTTAAGTAGTCTCTAAGCCAATAATGTTAAGTTGGCCCATAATGCCTGGGCATAATAGAGGTTCTCTTTGCATTGCAACCCACTATTGTAAATACAAAATCTCAATGTATTGTTTGCAAAGACATAAAATAAATAAAATAAATAAATAAATAAATGCCTCCTGAGAGCAGGAATTCAGCTGGAATGAATTAATTGCATTTCAGTTAATTTAAATAAGGAAAATTGACCCAACATACAAACAAATCAGGATATGAACAAGTCCACGGAATGGATTAAATTTGTAACCTGAGGTTCCACTGTATATATAGGCAGAGAGTGAGGTGTGAGTGGCACATGGAACCCTGAAGAACAACATATTGGGACGAAGATGGGTAGATGATGAGATCATGTGACTCCTGTGTTGGTAGATAAGACACATAGGCAACAGTTAGGCAACTTTATTCCGAAACGTTTCGCCTACACAGTAGGCTTCTTCAGTCGAGTACAGAAAGTAGGCAGGAGCAGTAGAGATGTGAAGACGATGTAATCAGTCCATCACCCTTGAAGTCGTAGATTTGAGGTTGTCAGTCCCTCAGCCTGGAGAAGTTCTGTTCCAAAGTCTGGAACTAACTGAAGATCAAGCAACAGTGTTGAGACTTAAATACTGTTGGAAGGAGAGGTGCAGAGTAGTAGTAGTGAGAATGTAGCCACTGAGAGGTCATACCATTTGATAATCACTCTGTCAGACACTGCAACACAATGGCATCTTGGTACAGAAGAGAAAACACCTCGGACAACTTTTTCAAGTGAGAACTGTTTGATCTGAGAGGGACATGACCTCTAAGTGGCTACATTCTCACTACTACTACTCTGCACCTCTCCTTCCGACAGTATTTAAGTCTCAACACTGTCGCTTGATCTTCAGTTAGTTCCAGACTTTGGAACAGAACTTCTCCAGGCTGAGGGACTGACAACCTCAAATCTACGACTTCAAGGGTGATGGACTGATTACATCATCTTCACATCTCTACTGCTCCCGCCTACTTTCTGTACTCGACTGAAGAAGCCTACTGTGTAGGCGAAACGTTTCGGAATAAAGTTGCCTAAATGTTGCCTATGTGTCTTATCTGCCAACCTATCGGTATTGTATACAACTCCTGTGTTGTTGGGTAGGTAGTGCTTTGCCTGACAACTTATCGAGGTTATACTACCTCGCTTGTACAAAGAGATGCTAGCTTTCACAATAACCTAACCTCCTTACCTAATATATCATAATATTAAAATCTAAGGCTACATTATTAATTCTAATATTATTTACTAACAATTTAAGCCTACCTAAAATATCCTTAAGATGTAACTATCAATTTGCACACTGTTTTTCACAATTATCTAATGTTATTGTCATGGCAAGTATGTATTAAGGGTCCCCACAACCTTGACACTAAATTATTTACATCAAATCAGGCAACAGATTTTTTTTGGTATGAATAAATTTCCACATTCACCATGGCTCAGTAACTATCTTACCAGAATTGTTTTCCATCCTGAAGAAGGACTTTCACCATCACTCACTCAATAGCCATCTTTACAGAAGAAATTCACCCATTTAACAATATTTTGTGGTGCACTCAGGGGCCATGCTGTAGGAGAATGCACTGAGATGAGTGACAACCAAGAACAACAATTACCTCTGACACTCAATGCTGGTAGTTGTCGTGGACACTGTACACTGCTGCTGGGCCTGGAGGAAGGTACCACACAAGATGTACAACTTACGATGAATGGTGCCACCATCACCACCTCTAGCATGGCTGCATTCACACACCACCACCAACAGTTTGATTGTTCTGACACCACCATGCATCCTATCTTCCTAGTGAGTATTGTTATTACAGCCTCCCATCACTTAGCGATGTATTCGTTTACCAAAGATTTGGACTTACAACGGGCTCTCTGACCAGTAATCATATCTATATAATGTATATTAGAGCTGATTTCCTTTTTTCTGTTTATTACAATATACAGTACACTACTGTATAAACATTTAAAAATACACCTCTGCTTACGAGTGCCCCGATGTGTGAGTTTTTCAAGATATGAGCAACTGCTTGGTCAGTTTTTTGCTTCCAGATGCAAGCGAAATTTCAAGATGTGAGTGGGCCTCAAGGGAGGTTTCTTGATGCTGGTGAGGGGCTCTTGCTCTTGTTCTAGGGAATTGGATCTCAGTTGTTTGTTGGACTATCTTATTGAAACTTATCAATGTATGAGGAAAAGATGCTTCGGACCATAAATAACGGAGTTGACTTCTCAGCCATTAGCCACCCCTTAGCGGTATACGTATTTTCATATGGTTTTTGTGCTTGTATTCTCGTTTTTTTTGGTCTCATTTGATAGAATGGAAGATATATTACAGAAATAGATATGAATTTGATTAGTTTCACGATAAAAAGTACCTTGAAATGGAGCTCAAAGTAGGAGAAATGTTCAATTCTTTGGTGATGTTCAAAAGTAAACAAATGACGTCACCGTCCAATACCTGTTTGACTGGCCACTCCAATAGTAAGTTTATTCAGGTTAACACAAATACAGTTACATAGATCATCATACATATCAGCATATGTGTAAAGAACTAGGATAACCCAAAAAAGTCAGACAGAGCAACTTATTTCCATTATTTCCAATATGCAGTCATGAATGGGTTAACATTTATTTATTTATTTATTTATTTTTTATTTGGACATGATACATAGTTGTACAAAGAAATATAGTGATTGGATGTACAGTACATGCCAAAAGCCCCTTGTATGCAGAGCATTATGGGCAGGCTTAAAATTAACTTAAGATTAACTAAGCAGTGATATATTCAGTGGTAAAAATTACAGTAAACAAATTACAACATGAAGTACAAATGAGTATTTCAGACAAGAAGCATTAAAGTTGTACAAATTTGTAGCATAACAGTGTATAATATAATCGAATCAGATCAAGTAAAATCAATGATTTGTAGTGCAGAAACAGGTCATATGGTCATTAGATGAGTTACTGTGCATTCAAGAGAATGGAGTATGTATTCTGTTAGGTAATGTAATTAAAAAAAAAACATAGTTTGATAGGGTCACAGGTTATACATTTATGAGGTTCAGTTATTCAGTATTTATTTCGTTTTGGGTGAGTAAGTGATCTTTGAGAAGAGACTTGAATTTATAAACAGGTAGTGTTTCTTTTATATTTACACGTAATGAATTCCAGATTTTAGGGCCTTTTATGTGCATTGAGTTTTTGCATAGCGTGAGATGGACACGAGGAACATCAAAGAGTGATCTGTGCCTTGTGTTATGGTCGTGTGTTCTGTTGAGGTTGGCAAGGAGATGTTTGAGGGGAGGGTTAATATCAGAGTTAAGTGTTCTGTGTATGTAATAGGTGCAGTAATAAGTATGGATGCTTTGTATGGTGAGTAGGTTTAGTGTTTTGAATATTGGTGGAGTGTGCTTCCTGTAGTGGGAATTTGTTATCATTCTGACTGCAGCCTTTTGTTGGGTAATTAGTGGTCTGAGATGGTTAATTGTTGTTGAGTCCCATGCACAAATTCCATAGGTGAGATAGGGGTAAATAAGAGAGTGATATAGGGCCAGGAGGGTTGACTGTGGAACATAGTACCGTATCTTCGATAGTATGCCTACGGTCTTGGAAATTTTCTTGGAAATTTGTTGTACATGTGTTTGAAATTTGAGTCTATTGTCAAGGTGGATTTCTAAGAATTTTCCCTCTGTTAGCTTTGTGATAGGTGATCCGTTTATCATTATGTTAAGAGGAACATCTGTAGCTCTGTTACCAAACTGAATGATGTAGGTTTTGTCAATGTTTAGTGTAAGTTTGTTAGTCCTCATCCAGGTAGATATTTTCTGTAATTCGGTATTTACAGTATTGGCTAGCATGACTGGGCTCGGGTGAGAGAAGACGTATGTAGTGTCATCTGCAAATAGTGTGGGTTTGAGTAATTGCGAAGCATTTGGTAGGTCATTTATGTAAATGAGAAAGAGAAGAGGGCCAAGGACACTTCCCTGTGGGACACCAACTGTAATTGGCTGTGTGGAAGAGTGCTCCATTTGTGTTCACATATTGGCTTCTGTTGCTAAGGTATGACTTTAGGTAGTTGAGGGAGTGCCCTCTTATACCATAGTGTTATAATTTTATGTGCAGCAAATCATGGTCAACTGTGTCAAAAGCTTTATGTAAATCATTGAAGATCTCCAATGGGACTTCTTTTTTCTCGAGTGCAGTGTATATTTGTGTTAGCAAGTGTATAATAGCATCATTTGTATTTTTATTAGGCCTGAACCCAAACTGACAGGGGTTGAGTATGTTGTGGGAGATGAGGTAGGAATAGATTTGCTTATGAATTAGTTTTTCAAAGATTTTAGAGAGAGGGTGTAAGTTGGATATTGGCCTATAGTTATTCAAGTCTGCTTGATCTCCTCCTTTATGTATCTGGGTGACCCTCGCTATTTTGAGAACTGTAGGGAAGGTAGAGGATTCGATGGATTTTATTAAAGTGTGTTGCAATAATTGGTGACAGCACTTGTGAAGCTTTTTTATATGTAAAGAGTGGTAAGGTATTTAAATCTCCTGTCTTGTTCTTTAGTGTGTTGATAATAAGTGAGACTTCTGCTGGGTTGGTCGGAGCTAGGAATAGTGTGTTTGGGTAGGTGCCAGTGAGGTAGTCATTGGGTGGGGTATTTGAACTTGGGATTTTACCCGCAAGGTGTTTTCCTATGGTGGAGAAGAAAACATTGAGTCTGTTTGCTGTTTCAGTAGGTGGGAGTAGGGGTTCATCTGGTTTTGTTAGTGTGATTGTTCTGTTTCCTGATAACTTTTTTGTTCCTAGAATTTCAGATAGGGTGTTCCAGGTCTTTTTTATATCATCTTTTAAGTTGGATAATGTGTTCTCATAATACAACTTTTTTGCCTTTCTTATCAGGCTGGTTAGGATAGATGAGTAACGTTTTGGTTGGGCTCTGGTTATGTGACCCATTCTGTACTGTTTTTCATACTGGTGCTTTATATTTATGGATTTGAGGATGCTTGGTGTTAGCCAGGGACTGTTCAGTCTCTTAGCTGTGATCTGTTTAATTTTTTTAGGGCATTGCTTGTTATAGAGGTACAGTGGACCCCCGGTATTCGATGGCATCGGTATCCGTTAAATCCGGTATTCGATACATTTTAACGCAAAAATTTTGCCTCGCCACTTGTTAAAAAACCCGCCACACGCGATTCATCCAAGACGTGTCCACGTGTGGCCTGAACTGCCCCGTGCGTGCCAGTGTTTACAAGCCAGCCAGTGTGCTCACATCTAAGGATGCATTCGGTACATTCCATATTATCACAGTGTTTTTGTTGCTTGTTTCTGCAAAATAAGTCACCATGGGCCCCAAGAAAGCTTCTAGTGCCAACCCTGTGGTAAAAAGGGTGAGAATTAGTATGGAAATTAAGAAAAATTTTGAAAGGTTTGGGACTAACCCTGAGAAGCCTATGCCAGTTGTGGAATCCATTGTGCCTACTTCAAAAATTAAGGAAATGTGTGCAGAGTGGGTTGAACTGCAAACCTTTATGGATGAAAATCACCCTAACACAGCTATTGCAAGCCGTGCTGGTGACTATTACAATGACAATGTTGTGGCCCATTTTAGACAAATCATAAAGGAATGGGAGGTACGGAGCTCTATGGACAGATTTGTTGTGCGACAGAGGTCCAGTGACTCAAGCTGGTCCTAGTGGCATTAAAAGAAGAAGGGAAGTAACCCCAGAAAAGGACTTGCTACCTCAAGTCCTAATGGAAGGGGATATCCCTTCTAAACAATAAGTTCGACACACAATATGAAGTTCAGAAAACAATATGAAGTTCAACGATGAGAAATTTCAATTACTCAGATATGGTAAACACGAGGAAATTAAATCTTCATCAGAGTACAAAACAAATTCTGGCCACAAAATAGAGCGAAACACCAACGTCAAAGACCTGGGAGTGATCATGTCGGAGGATCTCACCTTCAAGGACCATAACATTGTATCAATCGCATCTGCTAGAAAAATGACAGGATGGATAATGAGAACCTTCAAAACTAGGGAGGCCAAGCCCATGATGACACTCTTCAGGTCACTTGTTCTATCTAGGCTGGAATATTGCTGCACACTAACAGCACCTTTCAAGGCAGGTGAAATTGCTGACCTAGAAGATGTACAGAGAACCTTCACGGCGCGCGTAACGGAGATAAAACACCTCAATTACTGGGAGCGCTTGAGGTTCCTGAACCTGTATTCCCTGGAACGCAGGCGGGAGAGATACATGATTATATACACCTGGAAAATCCTAGAGGGACTAGTACCGAACTTGCACACGAAAATCACTCACTACGAAAGCAAAAGACTTGGCAGACGATGCAACATCCCCTCATTGAAAAGCAGGGGTGTCACTAGCACGTTAAGAGACCATACAATAAGTGTCAGGGGCCCGAGACTGTTCAACTGCCTCCCAGCATACTTAAGGGGGATTACCAACAGACCCCTGGCAGTCTTCAAGCTGGCACTGGACAAGCACCTAAAGTCGGTTCCTGACCAGCCGGGCTGTGGCTCGTACGTTGGTTTGCGTGCAGCCAGCAGCAACAGCCTGGTTGATCAGGCTCTGATCCACCAGGAGGCCTGGTCACAGACTGGGCCGCGGGGGCGTTGACCCCCGGAACTCTCTCCAGGTAAACTCCAGGTAAACTCTCCCCTCCTCCCATCCCCTCAATCATCACCAGATCTTCATTAACCCTTTGACTGTCGAAGGGCCCAATCCTGAAGTTGCTCCTGGTGTTGCAAAATATTCGAAAAAAAAAA